CGTTGCCCACTGGAAAACTTTGTTTATATCTTCTTGGAGGTTAACCGCGTCCTCAGCAGATGACAGCCTCATGCAGATCCTAGTATCATCCGCAAAGGATGATACGGTGCTGTGGTGTATATCTCTGTCCATTAGATATGCATAAAATAATGCAGCAGTTCATCAGAATGTTAAGAGCAATAACGGAAAGCTGCTTTCTTAACATTGGCTAAGATTGTATCACGATTCTTGAACAGTATCTCGCAAAGTTAGTATGTTCCCTCGAGGGAGGCGCCTTGATGCTGATAAGGGGCTTGTGGAAAATACTGTATATATTTTCCAGAAATTCAGTATTTATATGTAAATAGATGGTCATACTGTATTTAATAATATTTATGTCATAGAAAACGGAAAGCCTGCGTCTGGGCAGGAGACTCGCCATCTTGGTTTTTGAATTTTGTACAAACGTTGGTGTAATGGGAAGAATTTTTCGTGCTCTAGAGGTTAAAATTGTGTTGACACCTCTCAAATAGGAGGCGAAATTGGTGGATGTGCATTCCTGCATAACTTGAGATATCAGATGACTGGACAAGACAGCTCCAGGAACCTCAGATAAGTTCTCTAGATTTGTGTGTAATTCTGGCCAGCATTATTTTCATAGATTTAGTTGGTGTGAAGTTTTCTGAGTATGATACACATTAATCTCCAGTCAAATTGGTGAGTGATATTAAGATATATTTTCCTTCTGTTATGTAATTGTGTATATATATAACCATTTATTATTTTTAATATACAGTCCACAAATTTATATATTTACCAGTATTCCTGGTGTATATATATTTCATTTAATTAATAGGTCCAGAGCAACTTGTGGTTATGACAGTGGTAGGTATCGAAGGGGGACATTTTTTGCGACCTAGGTGTCCCAAATTCCTACTTGTCTATGTAACATTGATAAATAATAGTTATCTTTATTATCATTTACTGTTATGTACATAATTAGTTACATTCAGATAAATGCAATTTTCCACAGGGCTCTTGGTTTGAGGACTTAGACCTGTCCTCCCTTGGACCGGCCCTGAGTACCTCCCGTTTCCCAGGAACTGTCACCCCCGTGGTTTTAGCTCTTCCCCTTATAATAGTGGTAGCCTAATAACTGCTCTTGTCCTGAAGTTACTTGCTCGTGCACCTGACTTGCTGAACCTGACCTATTTCCTATATCTGGTTTACATCATGTGAATTAGGCCAGGTGACCAAACTTTGTGCAGTTTTTGTTTGATGACGAGGGCTTTAGTGTGAGGCTGAAATATAGTGCCTATCTTTTGTTGTGAGATTTTATAGTGGTGTGATAGTAACAAATTGGAGTAATGGAAATCAACCCGGTGACCTCTGATGAGAATTCACCCTATTGACAAATCTATTTATTTTATTTATTTTATGTCTTTGCAAACAGTACATTGAGATTTTGTATTTACAATAGTGGGTTGCAATGCAAAGAGAGCCTCTATTATGCCTAGGCATTATGGGCCAACTTAACATTATTGGCTTAGTCTACCTGTGGAAAATACTGTATATATTTTCCAGAAATTCAGTATTTAGTATGTAAATAGATGGCCATACTGTATTTAATAATATTATGTCATAGAAAACGGAAAGCCTGCGTCTGCACAGACGACACTCGCCATCTTGGTTTTGAATTTTGTACAAACGTTGGTGTAATGGGAAGAATTTTTCGTGCTCTAGAGGTTAAAATTGTGTTGACACCTCAAATAGGAGGCGAAATTGGTGGATGTGCATTCCTGCATAACTTGAGATATCAGACGACTGGACAAGACAGCTCCAGGAACCTCAGATAAGCTCTCTAGATTTGTGTGTAATTCTGGCCAGCATTATTTTCATAGATTTAGTTAGTGAGGTTTTTCTGAGTATGATACACTTTAATCTCCAGTCAAATTGGTGAGTGATATTAAGATATATTTTCCTTCTCTTATGTAATTGTGTATATATATAAAACCATTTATTATTTTTAATATACAGTCCACAAATTTATATATTTACCAGTATTCCTGGTGTATGTATATTTCATTTAATTAATAGGTCCAGAGCAACTTGTGGATATGACAGTGGTAGGTATCGAAGGGGGACATTTTTTGCGACCTAGGTGTCCCAAATTCCTACTTGTCTAACTGATAAATAATAATTATCTCTTCATTTACTGTTATGTACATAATGATACATTCAGCTAAATGCAATTTTCCACACTACTTAACACTAAGGAGTATATCATAGTTGTACAGTAGGATAGTAATTATTTCATGGTTTTACAGTAGAATATTAATTATAAATTAATCAAAATTTGTATAATACAAAGATATATATTCGAAAATGATTTTTGTGAAAACAATGATTCAATTATATTCCTGTCAGCAAAGCATAAAAGGTTCAAAGTGATTTTTCAGTTATGATGTGGGAGTACATAGGCGAGTGTGTACTGAGTATTTAGCATTTAGTCTAGGGTGATTAAGTGGCTTTTGAGAAGTCTTAAATTGATTTTCAGACTGGGTTACTCTAATATCTTCTGGTAATGAATTCCATATTTTGGGGCCCTTTATGTGCATAGTTTTTACACCGTGTGATATGGACACGAGGTATATCAAAAAGAGATCTGTCTTGTGTTGTGGTCATGTGTCCTGTTTAGGTTGGTGAGGAGAAGTTTGAGTGGAGGGTTTATATTTGCGTGTATTGTTCTGTGTATGTAGGAGGCACATGAATAAGTATGGATGTTCTTAATGGTGAGCGGATTCAGACTTTTGAAAATTGGTGGAGTATGCTGGCGGGAGTGGGAATTTATTATTCTTACTGCTGCCTTTTGCTGGGTTATTAGGGGTTTTAGGTGATTGGATGTTGTTGATCCCCATGCACAAATTCCATATGTAAGATAAGGGTATATGAGTGAATGGTACAGTGCCAGGAGAGCTGATTGTGGAACGTAGTACCTTATCTTTGATAGTATGCCTACAGTCTTGGAGATTTTCTTGGTGATTTGTTGTATGTGTGTCCGGAACTTAAGGCTACTGTCAAGGTTTGAGGTTTGAGGTTCTGACCAGAGCTTTGGTAAGATTGGAGGGGGGAAGAAGGATGGGTAAGGATGGAATGTGGGAAAGGTTGGGGAGGAGAGGAGGGGTAGGTGGGGTTATAAAAGGGTAGTGGCCTATCCACTTTGGTGTAATTTGAATATGCGTGTGCATATTGAGTAATTTATAAAGGTTGGTTTTATGAGTAGGGTATACCTCCTGCCCATCAATTTCAAGGTGGATACCTAGGAATTTTCGCTCTGTGAGTCTTGTGACTGATGATCCATTTTGCGTTATGTTAATTGGATCATTTGCAGCTTTGTTTCCAAACTGAATGAAATAGGTTTTATCAGTGTTCAGGGTAAGTTTGTTAGTTATCATCCAGGCATATTTTCTGTAATTCAGCCTTGACTGTGTTTGCTAGTATGACTGTGTTTGGGTCGGAAAAGGCATACGTAGTGTCATCTGCAAATAAATGGGTTTGAGTAGCTGTAATGCATTCAGTAGATCATTGATGTAGATGAGAAAGAGGAGTGGTCCAAGGACGCTTCCTTGTGGGACTCCTACTGTAATTGGTTGGGTGGAAGAGTTTGCATCATTTGCATACACATATTGAGTCCTGTTACTAAGGTATGAGTTTAGGTAGTTGAGGGAGTGGCCTCTGATACCATAGTGCATTAATTTGGAGTACAGCAGTTCATAGTCGACTGTATCGAAAGCTTTACGTAAATCAGTGAAAATGCCCAGCGGGACTTCTTTCTTTTCAAGTGCGGTATATATTAGTTCTAGCATGTGTATGATAGCATCATTTGTGCTTTTATTATTCCAGAATCCAAACTGACAAGGGTTTAATATGTTGTGTGAAACGAGGTAGGAATAGATCCGTCTATGAATTAATTTTTCAAAGATTTTAGAGAGCAGTGGTAAGTTAGATATTGGTTTATAGTTATTCAAGTCAGCTTGGTCACCTCCTTTATGGATCGGAGTGACCCTCGCTATTTTGAGGATTGTTGGGAAGGTAGATGATTCAATGGATTTGTTAAAGAGCGTTGCAATAATTGGTGACAATAGTTGAGAAGCTTTTTTGTACATAAAAGCAGACAAGTTGTTTATGTCTCCTGCCTTGTTTTTAAGGGTGTTTATGATGAGCGTAACTTCTATGGGGTTGGTTGGAGCTAGGAATAGCGTATTTGGGTAGGTACCTATGAGGTAGTCTGATGGACGGGTGTTTGTGCTTGGTATTTTGTTTGCTAGATTTTTTCTTATGGTGGAGAAGAAAACATTAAGTCTGTTTGCTGTTTCGGTTGGAGTGAGTAGGCGTTCATCTGATTGTTAGTTTGATTGTTTTGTTTTTGGATAACTTTTTAGTTACAAGAATTTCAGATAGTTTTCCAGTTTTTTTTCATATTGACGAAAATTATTTCATCCAGGACTTAACACTGACACAAAGCAGTGTAGACTTTGGTTATGGCCCAAATATCTTTTCATAGAAGAAGGAACGCTGTACAAGGTTCGCGAACAATGATAGGTTATATATGAATCACTTCTGTATATGAAATGAGATTTCACACTGTTGTAAAAGTAGCAAATATTTTTAGAGATCAGATGAGCAAACTGGGGATTTTTCTGAGTAGTTCACCATATCCACTATAATCTAGCAAGCTCATATTTGCTTTGTGTGTGCGAAACGTAGTCATTAAAGAATCACGTACTACATTTGTGTCTTTCCATTTCATAGTCTCCTTCGCACCTTTCATCCACCCTAGCATTATACACCTTGATCAGCCTATCCTACTCGGCTCTTTAAAAATAACCAAGCCATTTCAACAACCCCTCTGCTGCTCTTTATTATACTGTATCTTTAATATTACTAGGCCATCTTCTAGTATCGTCACACCATACTCTGCATAACGAATTGTTATTAAAGTATTTGGTTTACCCTTACAGTGAGTGGAGTGTGAACTTGAGGATGGTGAAGGTAGGGTCACCCCAGCATGCGCAGAGCACAGTTCCTGGCCTCGTCTGCTGTCATCTTCTCTTTCATAATCTTCGTTCTTTATGGCAATCACATCCTTGTTAATGTCTCAAGTAGGTGAAAAGATAACTCATCTAATTAGTGAGGTGATTAAAGGTTCTTAGTTTTAGTAATAATATAGTAAACCATATCTGGGAGGTAATTTCGTATATAAAACACTAAAAAGTTCGGAAACAAAATTAAGGTTTATTATAGGAGATGTATTCATTTAAACCATTCTAAATTTGATGACAATGTTGTTCATTCTTGATATTTATCAGAGCTGAAAGTTGTATTGTCTCTCATAAGCACGATTAAGAAAACTTGCAAATATACATATTAGCTAAATTTGAAATATGTATTAAAAAAAGTATAATTACAGATTAATTTTTAGTTAAATTGTAACTTGAATTGCAGATAGGAGACTAATGCCCAACACAATACTATTCTTAGAAGCCCAAGGTCAACCTCAAACTGATGACATAGGAATTTTGAACGTGAGTATTTTGTGGACTGTATTCATTTTGAGAATTGTAGGTCATACAACGCCTGGGGAATAGTGTAATGAGTTTTGATCCAAGGAAGGAAAGATAACTTTAATTCCCTGGATCAAGAATCCTGTCTGCTTCTGAGCTCTCAATGAGTTGACACAATTTTGAGTTTAGAGTTACTGCGAGATTTGTAGACGTAAAATAGGCTGGATATTTGTCAAATCACTGATGTGTATAACTAGCAGATTTATATCTCGGGATTATAATAAACTGACAACAAATTACAAAGAAAAAACTACCCATTCATTGAAAAATTGAATTCCGGACTTCAAGTTTTACCAGTTTGAGGAGCCAGGTGCAGTATATGTATACCCACATAATGTAATAAAAAAAAAAACACGTGTAATACCAGAACGCTGTATTATGAAACGCTTCGTTCACTGGAAGCTTGTCAGTACAATTGATAGTTTCAAGTGAGCGAAACTTTTACCAATAAAATGTGTTGCGCAAGCGTCTCCATTACACAGGTTCAACCAGCCCAGTTCGAGTCCATTGAAAAAAAAAACCAGCTTGCTATATCTGAACTTGTAAATGAAATATGCAAATACTGGGTCATAACACACTATCATTATTTATTATACTTTTTCGCACTGGTTTTGTGGAAAATTACATTTATCTGAATGTATCATTATGTACATAACAGTAAATGAACAAAGATAATTATTATTTATCAGTTAGACAAGTAGGAATTTGGGACACCTAGGTTGCAAAAAAATGTCCCCCTTCGATACCTACCACTGTCATGTCCACAAGTTTCTCTGGACCTATTAATTACAAATGAAATATATATCACCAGGAATGCTGGCAAATCTATAAATTTGTGGACTGTATATTAAAATTAAAAAAGGATTATATACACACATTTACATAACAGAAAGAGAATATCTTAATATCACTCACCAATTTGACTGGAGATTAAGGTGTATCATACTCAGAAAACCTCTCTGTCTATCCATGAAAATAACACTGGCCAGAGTTAAAAACATAAACAAACTTATCTGAGGTTCTTGGGGCTGTCTTGTCCAGTCGCCTTATATCTCAAATTATGCAGGAATGCACATCCAACAATTTCGGCTCCTATTTGAGAGGTGTCAGCCCAATTTTAACCTCTAGAGCATGAAAATTCTTCCGATTTCACCAACGTTTCTAATCCAAAATTCAAACAACAATGGCGAGTATCTTCTGCGCAGGCTTCTTCCCATTTTTTATAACATAATTTTTATTAAATACAATATAGGCCATCTATTTACCTATAAATTACTGTATTTCCGGAAAATATACAGTATTTTCCACAGGTTTTATACCCACACACGCAAACCCCACAAAAGACTGGTACCAAAGCTTGAGGAGCTGGCAGGAATTATATGAAAAACACTGCAGTGAATCAAGGAATACTTAACAGGAAGGAAGTAACGAGTTACTGTCAGGGAGGAGGTATCAGAGTGGGCGAATGTGACAAGTATGGTATCATGTGGGAGTTCGATACGTGGATTAGGGTAGAAATACTCACGTAGGCTGTTATACGTATAATTGCTGTTATGTGGAGAATGCCCGCCAGACGTACCTATCTCCTTGCTTCCACTCGTAACACTCGCTAGGCGGCTGGCCAGTACCCCGCAGTGGGTGTTTTGAAATAGTGTCAGCTCAGCACAATATGAAGACGTGACTCAAGACGGTTGGTCGTGAGTCAACGGACACTGGTTACTGGTAACTGGTTACTACGTTACTACTACTGAGATTACTGGTAACTGGTTACTACGTTACTACTACTGAGAGCTCGGCGACGCTAACGTATGCCCGTCCCGACATAAAACTAATACAAACTAGAGATGGCAGGTATACGGCGGGGCTTGATTCTAAACAATGTCAAAGTACACAACATGAAACATTTATAGATAATAAGTAGAACATTGGAATGAAAGCTTACGTAACTGAAACTGTAATGCAATACAAGGTATACTATAGTACACATAAAACTCAACAAATGAACAACAAAATCAACATTGAAAATTACAAGTGATAAAAACAAAATTTTGATCGATTCGATCTGTATTCATGTGATCTACGGATTCTGGGGAAGGGAAATATATACAAAGAAAGAGTGTTTAACAGAAAGGCAGATTCGGTGCACGCAAATCTAGACTGTTAACTCTCAGAATGCGGAGAGAACATGAACACAAAAAAAAAATTCTTGAATACTGTTTAAGTTGATACTGTAAATTATTCACTATACAGGTTATTTACATTTAACCCCAACTCTGCTAGGGTAAGATTGGCTATGCAGAATGGGTGTCATCTCTGGGAGGATCAAACTCTGTAGCATTGGCAAACTCATGCTATATTTGAGGCAAATCTAAATTTGGGAAAAGTTACAAAATGTACTTGGGGATTTCTAAATAACCTGTCGTGTACGTAGGGAATAACGACATTCAGGTTGATCATCTGACTGAGTATCAGAGGAAGAGAGTACAGGATCAGGAGGATTGTCAGAGTCTGTCACATTAGTCTGGGTTGGAACATCATTATCATCACATACTAACTTCATATGATCCAATGCGATTCTTTATACTGACCAGTACTAATCTCTCTAACCTTATACTTATTACCAGTGATATGTTCAACTACTCGATAAGGAACCCAAAAAACCTTTGATCAAGCTTTGGCATAGCAGACGTTTTGTTAAAATTAGTCAGCATAACTCTCGAACCTACTTTGATTTTGGATGGCTTTACTCGAGTATTTGCGACTCTTGTAAATTCAGCTGTTGATTTATAAGTGTTTCACGGATTCTTCTAAAACACTTTGAGCTAAGCTGGTACGAGTTGCTACGAAATCATCAGGGTTGTAATTGGTTTCGGATTAGAATATAAAAACTCATAAGGCAAAAGTTTATTACACCGTACAATGCATAATGTGGAGTGTCACCTATAAAAAACATTGTAAGCAGAATTTATAGCACACTGCACATCAGGTATAAAATTCATCCCAAGTTTCACTATTGGGGTTGATAGTGGCTCTCAAGACATCAAGTACTTTCTTATTGGTTCGTTCCGCTAACCCATTGCTGGCAGGATGAGAGGAACAATGGGGGATTAGTGATCTTGTACAAGGTACACAAAATTTTCAAAGAAAATTTCATTACAGAATTCACCTCCGTTATCTGTTACTAGGGGCCTTTGGGGTGGTATGCCTGCAGATAATGCGTTTTTTTAAACGCTTTAGCTACTGTCTCGGCAGTCTTATTGCAATAGGAACTAACTCGCAATATCTGGTGAAATGGTCTCCATAAACACACAGATGTTTTTTTACCTGGAGAGAACATCGGAAATTAGTTAACAAATCTAGCGCAACTCTTTCCCCAAAGGTTCGCTAGTAGTTGGATACACTTGGATTGGGATTAGGACCATTAGCATTGCCTTTATGTGCATACAGGGCACTACATTTCCTAACATAGTCAGAAATATCAGTTTTCCATACGAGGCCAAAAGTATTTCAATCTGGCTTGTTTTACTGAACGATACCATACCAGGGTGTGCAACACCTGGTACATCGTGAACTAGCTATAAGGCTACATTCACTAGTGACTCTGGGAATTACTAACTGGTATACTCTTCTGCTAGGGGTACCCAACTCGGCTGTTCGATACAGTAATTCGTGGTTCATGAGAAAGTCACTGATGGTGCTGGATGTTCACAGTCAGAATGATCTTCCTGGAGCAGGAATCGAATCACACCAGACCACATGGGATCGGTTCTTTCTTACTGGAAGGAATGAACAAACTCGGAGGGTGGATGATCCCCGGTTGAAAAATAAAATTAACGCATAACACACTATAGCAGGGAGAAAAATCCCCCACTATCCAAACTACAAGCACAGGGAAAAGAAAAGAAACGGTGAAAAATGCTGATATCGAGTCGCACACAGTAACATGAGGTATCAGCATAAACTTCACTTGCAAACATTAACAACATGGAAATTACTCGAGAAATAAACTTCTTAAAAATGCAATGATTACTGGGCAACTAGGATGGGTCACAATCTGAAACACAAGGGGAACAACAACACTCAATGTGAGCACACTAGCCACAGAAACATTTTCTGCAATGGCTGGTGGCATCAGCAAGAGATGCATAAGTGCAAGTAAATTCTTCTCAAAACTCCCCTGGGGAAGGAACGATACTTGAAAAAGTCGCATCGCAAGATAGTCCCACTATCCTGCTGCACGATATTGTGGCTGGGAGTCCAGACAGGAGTGGACAGCTTACTTGTGCCTACCCCTGGCTACGTTAATAAATAATTCACGGTCTAAAAGGAACTTAACTGAACTTCACATTTCGCAGCACTTAACAAATCTCAGATACAAGCTGTGAGAACAAACAATTGCTCCCAAAGGGTAGGTATTGGCTTTCGTCAGTAGGAATTTGGTATGTAGACTGTTTATATTGACTTGACAGGCAGATACAATAAGTGAACATTCAAAAGGACTGGGACATGACGCAAACCATGCTAAAACTTTACATGGCCATTGAATAAAGGGAACCCTCAAGGAATCACAGTATAACATAATATCTCGGGGTCTGAGTCGGTCTGTCAGTCGGTAAGGAACTGTGAGGACTGATGACAGGAGACAGGCTGGATGATTGGCTGACTGGCGTCACTTCCACCAAATGCTTACTGGGCTGGCTTAATTGCAAAATCCGGTCAACCCTCGGAGATTGAAGCAATTAGCACACAAACTAAGCCCGGTGAGAACTTGAAACGGCTGCACGGGTTTCAGGCAGTAGGTAAGTGAGGGTTAAGCGCTGGCTGGAGGTGTGAGGGGAGGGCATTCACCCTTTTACCCTGCGGCCACTCACAACAGTCTTCAAACGCCTTGAATTACCTTAAAAACCTAAATCCACGCTCCACACCGCTGCACAAATTTATCATGGGGAGTTTGTAGTGGA